CACACACACACACACACACACACACACACACACACACACACACACACACACACACACACACAGCACCCAATGTATAAGGTAAGCAACACATATAAACAGAGAACTTGCTGAGGAGAAAATAGCATGCATGTTTAAATACAGGCCAAAAGTATTCCAAGTGAGAAAGAGTAGGGAAGTGAAACACCAAAGATCCAAGAGCACTGAGACATTACATGTTATGACGTATGTGTATTGTGAATCTAAAATAAAAGCAACAAGAGGAAGAGGGTCTGAAGAGACAGCTCGGAGGTTAACATCATTTACTGCTCTTGCAGAGGACCCAGGTTCAGTTCCCAGTACTCACATGGTGGCTCACAACTACCTGTTCCAGGTGAACCAAGCCATCTGCTGGTCTACAGGGGCTCATAAACATACATGGCACACAGAAACTCACTCAGACACATGTACACATAAACACAAAATAATTTTAAACAGTACTGAAGACAGGAGAAATTTTTCCTAACTGAATGTAACAAACTAGTACTAAGACTATCAGAGGAATATAACAGGATAAATATTGTGTGCATACAAATGTGTGTTTGACTGTAAATACCACAGAAAATCTGACAGAGTCAGGTTTGGGGGTTCATAACTGTAATCTCACACACGGAGGCTGAGGTCTGAGAACAGCCCTAATCACATAGTGACACACACAAAAAAAACAAGAATCTTGACTACATAAAGTGACACTGTTTCAAAAACACAGCAAAACAGCCCAAATACGAAAGAAAACCCTCGTAGCTACATTAGCTACTGACAAGGCAGCTTTCAACAGGAGATACTGCCAAGGACAAAAGGAAGTGTACCTAGTGGGGACACAACATGGTAGTGACCTGTATTTAAGTGTGTATAGACGCTAAATTTATCATCACCATCCATATTTGTGGCAAGTGGTAGGGTGGACAGGGAATAGACAAGTTACAAATGTCAATTATTAGCAAGAAAAATATAACATGATAAAATATGACTCTTAGGAACCTGGCGACACACCCCTTTAATCCTAGCACTCAGAGGCAGAGGCAGGTGGATCTCTGTGAGTTCAAGGCTAGCCTGGCCTACAAAATGAGTTCCAGGACAGCCAGGGATACACAGAGAAACCTTGTTTCAAAAAATGGGGGGAAAAAACAACAAAAAACCACATTCTACCTAAATTAATTGTCACTGACCATTCCCTACTGATCTCTAAACCTGTTAAAACAAAGCAACACACACACACACACCAAACCAAAAGGAAAAACAAATAAACAAACAAAAAACCAACCCACTCATGGGTTAAAACAGTTCATGGAACAACACATACACATTTTATCAGTTAAGGACAATGCATTTAATGAGAGCAGTGTAAAAGCGCTCTGCATAGGTATGGATAAAATAAGTTTCAAGATTGTGAATTTAGGATGAACTTTCTAGCATTTGTTTTCATAAAATTAATCTTTCCTGGGTCCCACCAAATGGCTCAGCAGAATTTAATGTGGAAACAAAAAATGATCAGACAGTAATTCTGAAAATATCTATTACAAACAGGAAATAGGCTTTAATTGTTTTGTATTTATTGTGTGTGCAGGCACACCTACACACATGCCATGATACTAGAGAACAGATGATGAGGGATTGGTTGTTTTCCCACCACGTGAGTTCTGTTTGTCAGACGTCATCGTAGGTACCTTTACCAGTGAGCCATCTCGGGAGCCCATGAATAGTTTTAAATAAACAGCACAGTAATGATTTATATTTTCACCTATTTTTGAGTAATAATGGTCCTTTTAAAGCTAAAAGAAAAAAATACATCCTGCTAATAGATTATCTAAATTGTTTCTTCCCAATAGGAAAATAAAATCCAAAATATTTTGTTTCTATTCTGTGTATGTGTTTATGTGTGTGTGTGTGTATGTATGTATATATATATATATATATATGCAAATATACATTGGCTTTTCGAGACAGGGTGTCTCTGTATAACAGCCCTGGCTGTCCTGGAACTCACAGAAATCTGCCTTCCTCTGCCTCCCAAGTGCTGGGATTAAAGGCGTGGGCCACTACTACCCAGATCTGTTTCTATATTCTTAATGTAGTTTGAGTAGACCATTTAACACAAAATTCTTAGCACCTCTCAGGAACCTTCTAAATATTATAAAGAATCTAGGCTCCTTGTAAAGAAACTTTCCAACACTCACACCATTTCCAAATCTAACGATCCCCATTTACAAGAAAGAACCGAAATGGAAAGCATGCTGTACCACTGGAGTCTTCCCTGCGCACCCCTTGGAGAACATCTTCAAGTCTCTCCTCCAAGTGCTCCGTGCAGAGCTGCTTCCTCCCCCTCTGTGATTGCTCATTGTTGTATAATGTTCTCTATATTCATTTTCAAATCCTTCCAAACAGCAACTTAGTACCCTTTTCTGAAAACTTGAAATGAGAGCACAAGACAGTGGCTAACAAGCAGGTACCTGACAGAGGGTGGTCTTGGCCCATGGTCCCTGGAATCCATCACCCACCCAACGTGACTCTCTAGAGGGGGGTTTGTGCTGTGACTCGTCTTCCTCTTTCGTGGACTCTAAAGAAAAAGTCAAACATTGCAATTTCTTTTGGTAGTATGAACTTCACAAGAAAATGAAACCCTCTGACTGCAAACTAACTCACACATTTTCCTACTGCAGATGGCACATTGTGAAATCACATGAAGTCACAAAACCCAAACACCTTAAACACAAGTTACAAAGCTTAACAACGAGGACCCTGACTTGGTTTGAGTACAAGGCTAAAGGAAATCAACACAGAATAATTCACTACATGCTCATTGTCTTTTATCACATGACTCTGTAAAAGAAGGTGCTTCTCAGCCTGAGAAAACATCACTGCGGTAAATACCATTTTAAAGTGAATTGTTACAGTTTAGAAATGCACACATTAAGAAGCCTTCTCTTGCACTGTTAGAGGACATACAACGCAGGCCTCATATCCCGGTCGTTTGTACCTTTACATTGATGGCACTTGGTTCTTTGACTACAGGATAAAATCTCAGTGTTTTGTTAGGATCTTGGGGCCAAGTCATTCGATGTGCTTTAGGAGTACACACAGGATGAATCCTGAGAGATGATGGAACTGCAGAGGGCATTGTGTGAGCCTTTGTTGCTGAAGTCATTTCTGAAAGATCAAACAGCTTCTAAGCTCATTTATCAATCAAATCTGCAAAGTAGCTCTTGAAATTACTTTATATGCTAGGAAAAGACTACTTTGAGAGTAAAGACAAATCTGAAATTGTCTAGGCACAACAGTTTTTCATTGAAACATTTCAAATATCTTAAAAAGAATTAAAAAAGATACTTGGTAACTGTTACCTAGTTTTACAACATTCCGTTCTGTTTTCTAGCAAGAAGGCAAGAAGGTTCGCAAGTCAATGTACCTTCTACCAAGGCTGATGACCTGCATCCTGCTGCAGAACTCATGTGGTGCAGGCAGAGGACGATGACTGCAAGCTGTCCTCTCACCGCTGCACATAAATTGTGGGGAGTGTGCACCCACACACGTGCACAAACACATAAATAGTACAACTTTTAAAGGAAGGCTTACATCCCTGTTGTCATTTAGAATTCAATTTCCTTCTTGCTTACCCCCCCCCCCAGAGATATCCAAGCTCTAAAACTCGGCATTTTAATGTTACTACATACATACAATAATATTTTCCCTAACTGACTCTATACATAGGACATCAGTCTTTGTTTCATTCTCTGAATTGAACATTTCTCTTGTACTGGTGTACCTTTCTCCAGGGTTTATCCGAATGGAAATGCCATCGCAGCAGGTCTTCTGCCCTTCAAGGCCGACCACCTCCCCACTCTCCACAGTGGCTCACCAGCTGACACTCACAGGCAAGCAGCACATCAGACTTCGGCCAATTGCACAGCCAAGTCAAAACCAGTTTTTCTTCAGACTTAGGAACTTTCACATCACAGGATCTGAATGCTATTTACACTTCCTGAGTGGTGACAGTGACCTTGAACCTTCCAGAATTCCCCTTCTGTGAGCTTATCACCCACTATCCTTTGGCTGTTTTTCTATTGAGCTATTTGCCTTGTTGATTTTTTCATGAAAATCTTACGGTAAGACAAGTGAGCCAGAAGATGGACCAAGAACCAGTGGCCAACATGCAGGCTCTATTTTTGTGTTTCTTGGGATTCACATCTGTTTCTTCTTTCCTTCCACAAAGAGCATCAAGTACTCACTATCTGCATATACTCTGCAAGGCTGTCAAGTCAAAACTGAACTTACCCACATGCCACTCTTCCTAAGATCCTCTCGTGTTCACCAGCTGCTCTGAAGAGCCCAGGAGACTAACCTCCACTCAGAAGCCCACAGTCCAAAAGCCTATCTCTCCTGATTTGCTCCACCTATTCCCACTCTCCACTTCCATTATGCTTTCCCAAACAGCTGTCTTGCTTCCTTGATGCATAGTTTTTCCTTCTCTCTGCAAGTCCTGCTCTTCGTCTTGTGTACAATCAGTTGGCTCTGTTTCTTGCCTGAGACACTGCCCCTCTGCACTTTATCTGGTTGTTGCTTCTGCTATAGCTTGGATCTGGAATACCTCCCAGAAGTTGAAGTCTAAACAGCTTCAAACTCAGACTGGCACTGTTGGAAACCCTGCAAACTACTAACGCAGTAGAGCTTAGAGGAGAGTCAGGTCCCATAGAGGCATGCCTTTGTCCCTCCCCTTTCTCTTTGTGCCGCCCACTCACCAAGAGGTAGAAATGCCTCTTTGCTCACAAGCTCCCACCACAGGTCCAAAGGCAACAGCCAAGTGACCATGGACTGAATTCTTAAAACTCTAAGCCAAAATAAAATTCTCCTTCTTATATATTTCTCAAATATTCTATCATATCATTAGAAAGCTGAGTCATAGTTTCAATTTAGCCCATTAACATTTACTCTTATCTATCATGTCATAAGGACCCTGAAAACAGCAGCCACAGTCTCATTGAGTACCAGTGAGAAGGAATATTAAACTTCATTCAGTTGTGTTTATGCTATTTTACTTCTGCCAAAATATCACACAGTCTTGAAAATAGGAATGAGCATATACTAGAACAATGTCAAATCAAGCACTAAGATGAAAGAAAAACCAAATCTCTAGGATCAACAACTTCCTGGAACAAATAAGCTCCCTAGGACTGGGTTATGACCTATGAGTGATTTGCACTGATCAGCTGGATTTGCCAAGGAAATAATGACTGAAGTATACTTAAGTATACATAAGCCTTGGAAATCCTGAGTCTAGAACCCAATAATACTAAATTATTAGAAACATATACAAGAGGAAATGAGAATGTAGTTAAAGGATAACAACAAATTTCAAAGGACAGGAGCAAACTTTAGGAACCCCATCAATCATCAGCAATATGACAACGAAACAATGGCTGGAATAAGTCACAGGGAAGCAGGCTATGAACTCTATGAGCCCACAATGAAACGTTAAGACTCAGTTACACTCAAAGGTTACTGGGATACAAACTCAATATTTTGACAAATTGAAACACAAGAAACAAGGGTTTGTTACTTTCCTACAAAAATTTAGTTTTATTATCATTCTGAAACATATGAAGAAGTATTTCCAGAAAAACAATGTAACTGCGAGACTGAGTATGAAGTGCCAGAAACAAATAGATGGTGAAGACCAGTCAAGATAAAGAAAGAATGCCAAATTACCAACAATGTTTGAAATCAGGTCAGGCTGGCACATGGAATCCCTTAAGCTAGCTCTTACATTTTATCTGAATCTGAATATTTCAAAGATCAAATGATAAAGGCCTTTTAATTACATTTATGCACTTCTGTGTAGGGGGTTTGAGGGTATGGAGGTCAGAGGACAACTTGGAGTCAGTTCTCTCTTTCCATCACATGGCAGTTTGCAACTATCTGTACCTCCAGTCCCAGAAGATCTGGCACCTTATTCTGGCCTCCATGGGCAGCAAGCACATATGTGGTGCATAGACACAAATGCAGATCATACACACATACAGATAATAAATCATTTTAAATATGCATATATAAATAGAGAACAAGCACATATTAACATTTTTATCAAGTACTAGCCTGGCAGAATAGATTAGCAGCAAGGAGCTTTCAACACTGTATAATTGTACACTGGAGGGGATTGCTGATGTGCAACTATAACATTTACTGAAATTCAAATGATAGCCTTAAAGTGGTTACATTTTTTAAAAAGATTTACTTATTTATTTTATGTATGATGCTCTATCTGAATATACAACTTTATGTCAGAAGAGGGCATCAGATCCCACTAAAGATGGTTGTGAGCTAATATATGGTTGCTGGGAATAGAACTCAGGACATAACGCTGAGCCATCTCTCCAGCCCAAAGTGGTTACATTTTAATGACATGTAAACTATACTTCAAAAGAGCTGTAAAAACAAATCAGGCCATATGCTCTTCAGAACATCACATTACAAGCCATCTACCATCTATCCAGATTTTGCTAAAAGCTTATGAAGGAACAATATCTCATAAGCTAAATAGTGGCTAGCAAAATGTGGCCCTAAACAGCACTCTGAGATGGGAACTTGTTAGACATGTGCATTCCTGGATTCAGCCTATAACTTACTGAACCAGGAACTTGATGTGGACCCCCATTTTTAACTACTTTCCCAGCGAATAAGCAAATGCTTGATAAACTTAAGAACCACTGAGCCTACTTTTCTACAAGGTGAGAATTTCCAAAATGTACCGACACCAACTCAAAGTGCAGCTCAGGGTGATCCCTTCCCACACTACTAGCTGTTGCCTTGTACAACAGCAACACCAATGGGAGACAGAGACTTCAAAGGTTTGTGTTCGTCACTTTGTTTTTAAATCAATAAAAGTGTCACTAAAGCCAAGTTCAGCAAATGCCAGAGTGTAAATATTTTTGGCTTTTTTTGGGTCAGGAGACCTTTGTTGAAATAGCTCAGTTTTGCCTCTGTGGCATGAAAATAGGCCTTAGTAATAATGGAAGGTTTTGACCAACTATGATGGGTCAGAATATGCTGACCACGGACTGAACTAGAAGAGTCAGTCACACTGGGCTTAGACTTTTTTTATTTTTACACAATGAAAGTTCCCTGTCCCACCCTCTCTTCCCAATCAATACCCCTCTCCCTGCATCCCATCCATTCCTCCACTGTTTCTCTTCAGAACAGGGGGGCATCCCATGGATAACAACCAGCAATTGCAATTATATCAAGTTGCAATAAGAATAAGTACCTCCCCTCCTATTAAGACTGAATGAGGCAACCTAGGAGGGAAGGGTCCCCAAAACAGGCAACAGAGTCGGAGAAAGCCCCTGCCCCCACTGTCATGAGTCCCACAAGAAGACCAATTACACAATTGTAACATATATGCAAAGATCGGTCCCTTGCAGGCTGCCTGGTTGTCAGTTCAGTCTCTGGGGGCCCCTATGAGTCCAGGTTAGTTGGTTCTGTGGGTTTTCTTGTGGGGTCACTGAGTCCTGCAATCCTTCCTCCCCCTCTTCCACAGGATTCCTCAAGCTCTGCCTAATGTTTGGCTGTGGGTCTCTGCATGTGTTTCCATCAGTTGCTGGGTGAAGCTTCTCTGATGACAGTTGGGCTAGGTCACAATATGTGAATATAGTAGAATATCACTAAAAATTATTTCATTGACTTTTTTTGCCATTCATGTTTGGTTCTATCCTAGAGCAATGGAAACTCCCAGGAATCTATGAGGGTGACTCTAGCTAAGACTCCTAGCAATAGGGGTTACAGAGCCTGAACCAGCTATCTCATGTGACCAAGCAAGACTTCCGGTGGAGGGTCTGGGACCCCAACCCAGCCACAAACGCTTCAACCTACAATTTGTCCTGCTTACAAGATGTGCTGTGGTAAAGATGGCACAGAAACTGAGGGAGTGACCAACTGATGACTGGCAGAGCTGGAGACCCATGCCCAGAGAGGGAGCTGCCCCCTGAGTGCCAGGACTCAGAAGCAGGATACCCCAGAGACCTAGGATAAACTCTGCTTTAAAAAAATGCCCAGTGGTGGCGCACGTCTTTAATCCCAGCACTCAGGAGGCAGAGACAGGAGGATCTCTGTGA